CAGCAACTCGTGCAGTTAGTGGTGGTAAGAATGAGCTCATCACGTCAGGAAAGTGACCTGTGGGTCACCTCCTTTCTAGTGTAGCTGCCTGGCAAATATGGAAATGTTTCGTGCATTTTTAGAAGCCCAGAAAATCCTCTTAAAAATAGTTACTAGTATTGACTAAACACTCTTTCTTTGCATTGTTGTAATTGCAGTTATCTGCTCCTCCTGCTCTCCGTTATCACTTCTTCTTTCACAATTCTTTTGTTTCCCGTTTGCAAGTACTAATTTTCCTACACAAAGTGAGAAATACCTAGTATACTCTGTATGTCTTGGTTTTCATTTTCATAAAGATGTGCAGTCATAGAGGATCTCCCATGCACGTAAGACATACATGCTGATCCGGTGTTGCAGCCCATTAATCCTCTTTAATTCAGTGGGCTTTTTGCTCCATAATATAAATAACCAAGACAAGTATTTGTGAATTAAAAATCACATTTGTTTGACTTCCCCATGTTCCTGGATGGCTGGTGTTCTGTGTGGGCCCTCTAGAGCATGTGTAAGCAGAAAGCAAGCATTGAAGACTAGTGGTAGAGTTTCTGGGGACTTTGGGGTGCCAAGTTTGAAACCTGGACATTTCCCTACCTGTCCTTAAAAAACAAAAAGATAAGCCATTGAAGTTTTTGCTCTATATTAAATATAAGATGCTTCTAGATATAATGAGGGCTAATTTTGTGGTAGAGTTGAAAAAGATTATCGTAGAACTACATTTTAACATTTTGACAAGTTACTCAAAAAATCAAATGTAGAAAATTTTCAAAAGGCATCCTCAATTTTACTGATTACTTAACTGTTAACCTAATGTAGAATAAGTGCTGTGATTTTGCTCAAGTCTCAGTGCTGAGTTCTTGAGAACCCAGAATTCAGGTGAGTTAAATATGTACATTAGCTCTGCTTCCTGCTTTGCAGGGCTTTCTGCTCCTCTGTTCTCTGTAGATATAATTAACTCCACCCAAGTGTCTCACCATCTTTTCTACTTCAGGCCAGGTAGCACAGGTACCAGGCATGTTTTCACTCTAGGAATTTTTATTAAGAGTGGGACTGGATTGATGCTGTCTTCACATGCCAGTTAGTTCTGTAAGAATATCATCAGTCAGATCATGCTGGCAAAATGAATGTTTTGAACAGCTTTTAAATTACTGTAAGTGCTAGTATTTATCTTGGACTGGAATATGTATTTGCTGTCTTCTGTCTGCTATGATGATGAGCAAGCCTTCAGGTCGTAATGTTAGTGGTAAGCACTTACCCTGTTTTAATCTTTCTTGTTCATTCAACAGTTACTTTACTGTCATTTATGGGAAACGCAGTGAATAAAACTGGCCTGACCCTGCCCCGAGCTGCCTACAGTTGATTGTTCATTCTCTGAAGGTCTTTTTTGTTTGTTTGATTGATTTTTGCATTTGTTTTCTCTTTTTAATTTTAAATTTTTTTGACAGTTTAATATATGTATAGAATGCATTTTGATCATACTCACCCCATTACCCTGTCTTAAGTCTTTGTAATTGCAAGATTGTTTTTTATTCTTCACTAGCAAGGGACTCTGTAGACTGAAAGCTGACTGATAAAAATTTCCAAGTTATACAGGATTAATGACGTTTTGAAGCAATGTTCCAAATACAGTGGTATGCCTCCTTCAAAATTGTATTCAGTTGTGTAATCTAGTTCATCTCCTTCATATTATTCAAGATTTTATTAGTGTTTCATACGTATAAAGTTTTAACACTACAAAGTTTCCTGTTGTGATCGACCCTATTTATTCCTTATGGAAAATGTTTTAAACACATGTTGACATCTTTCTGAATTGTGAACTAATGGTTTGTTATGATTAGTATAAGTGATAGCAAAAGTTTGATGACTAATAGTATCTGCTCTTAGCAAAATCTACTTGACTTTTTTAAATGAAAAAATTATTAATGCAGGTAAGTGTCACTCAAGCTTCGTAACTTTTAACAAAGCAACTCTCAGAACCATGGGATTTAAAATACAAACACTGTTTTGACATCTCATAGAAATCAATTTCAGTAAGCCCTTTGATGTATGATTTGTTTGCTTCTTATTTTTCTTCATGAGCCACTGTTTCCTACGAATAAAATAAAACATAAGAAGATGAACCTTTGTGACCAAGCATATAATCTTTCCCCTGACTACTGCTACTATTGAATGCAGAATTGCCTTTGGAGGGGGTAGAGGAAGTGTGTCTGCTGAGGCTGAGGTTGTGTTCTGAAATGTTTTACTACCCAGCGTAGCATGAGTAGATGTATTCTCCACCTTCTTTTACAATTCCTCAGACAAAGGCAGAGGAATTTTCATCATTTCAAATAATGTAACTAATGTTTGATAAATTATTTTAACTAGAAAAAAAACATGATTATAAGGGTTTTTTTTTTCTTTACAGACTTTTTAGAGCAGTAATAATACTACCACTTTTCCACCCCTTGGGCCCATAAAAGAGAATACACCAATCAGTTTAGTTAACATTTTAGTTAGGAGTGCATATATATATATATATATATATATATATATATATATATATATATATGCTGTATTTATTTTTTATGTTTATTCTGTCCAATAATTCTAATCAACTCTTGATTTCCTTTGTTTGAGAAAATAATGAGCAGTTCTTTGAAATTATTTGTCAACTAATAAAAATTCAAAGTAGGGTAAAATTTAAAGAAATTAACTAAACTTAGGAGTTATATTTTAAGATAAACTAAATTACCATAGTAACTTTATTTATTTATAATTTTATTTCTGGATATAAGATATAGATAATGGAGGTAATTTGTAGACAGTTATATTTGTGGGCTGTTTGAAATACTTAGCTACTAAAGCATTTCTGTTATAAAATGCCACTACACAATTAAGCGTAACTAGAATTTTATGAAAATGTTTAGAAGGCAGTAAAATTTATAACAAAAAGTACACAGATTTATTATTTGCTAGTCAACTTTGGTTTTAGATTTAATTCTACTCAAATCACGCACTCAAAAATGCTAATTATTTTAATGATTAATTAAAGTACTTAAAATTTTACCTTGCAAATTGTCTTTTAATTTTTTTTATTAATTCATCCTTTTGGAAATTTTATTTGGCAGTTCTCATAGGGAAAAGGTAGCACTGACCTTTCTGAACTCTTAAATATAATGACAGGATGTATCTACATGCAGGCGAGCTCACTGTCTTGCCCTATCAAAGACCATAGTAGAATAGAAGTCTGACCATACAGACACCATCACATAGTGTGGCAATCTTGGGTCATTGATTGCAGGGACAGGATAAAGATGTAAAGACTCTATTTAAAAAGTATTTACATCATTCAGATAATAGTACATAAAATGATCTTTTATATTCATAATTACCACACCAAATACTCAGTGTGTGTCCTGGGCAAGTAAGTATTGACAAAACTAATTTTGCTATTTTGCAATTTCGATGTTCTTTCACTTATGCATGTCCTATGCCTTATAAAAATGGGGCTTTTGCTTGAACTATTAAAGATATCTTTATTTGTCTAAAAATTTATTTTTCATTTAAATAATGAGGATAATACTGGTTTCTTATATACCCTTAGTAATTTTGTAATGATGCTTGAATGTCCTCTATTAAATATTTTTTTTGTATATCATCTTTACATATCATGGAATTCTGAAAGTATGTGAAGATTTTAAGAAATATTAGCTTGTTATACAACTTTGAAAATTTTTTAACCTAACCTGTCATTGACATATCCTTTTGTTACTGGTTTTTAAGTATTTGATTTTTATTATACCTCTCAAATTCTTCTAATTAATACTTCTGTGTACTTAATTAAAAATAATCACAGCTTACTAACCACCTTTGCCTTATATTCTTTAATAAATGTAGGTCTTTTTTACTTTATACCATTGTTATTCTTGCCTTTTCTTTCATTCATAAATATTAACACAGTTTGTATCTGTGCTGTCAGTCTGCTGAAGACCTTGCTATTAACAGACATCTTTAAGATATCTTAAGGTTTTTCAGCAATGGTCTTATGCAACAAATATTGCCTTTTCCCTGATACCTGCCTCCTATAGCAAACCTATATTTAACTTGACTCATATGTACCTGGAACCTGAACAGCAGAGTGGTTGCTACATTCCAGCCATCTTTACACCATTCTTTAGTTTAAATTGGCATTTCTGCAAATAGAAGTGTGATTCTAAGAAGCCGTAGTCACAAGTGTGGGCAGTGTGGGTGGCAGTGCTGAGATCAGGTTTCCAGAGGCACTCTCCTGGAAGAAACTAAGTTTGTGTCTTCCATTATATTAAGCTTAATGAATCTTCACCAGTTTTGTTTAGAGTCAGTAACCTTAATAGCCATTTCTTTGGGTTAGATTTCTTTTTTATTAACAAGTGGGGAATCATTCAGCATCACAAATTGGCATTTTTTTCTAGGTAATACTATTTTTTTTATTTGTGCATTTATTTGGTCATGTAAAGTGTGCTTACAACTAATCAAAATAAGCAGTTGGTGGGAATTAACGCACGACTCAGCAGCGTGGAATGGAGCATGCGCTATGAAATTGCAGTTCATTCATGCTTTATTTTCTGTCCTTTATACTCTAGTTTCATTTATACTAGAATCCATTCATTTTTTACTTCTTCATAGATTGGCCAAAATGGGAAGGGCTGGATTCTGCTCTCTTCCACGAAGAGTTAATGGAACTGGCTAAGATCAAAGTCTGAGGCTTTTTCCATCCTTAATCAGGTATGCATTGAACAAAAATCACTAGTTCTGTGCATGTGCCTTTAAAGTATTTGGTTGATAAATATATTGTTAATATAATTTCTATTTGATACTAAGTTTGCAACTTTATATTTATCCTAAAATTTTAAGTGTACCTATGATAAGTAATTTGAATTTTTTAATGGATTAAAATATAAAAGCATTATCAGCCATGAAAATTTTCAGCTGGTCTTAGAAAAGTGTAATATTTGGTATCAGTGCAATTCCTCATTGCTCAGTATGTACATCTAGAAACATCCATTTGTTACTTCATATTGAGTATCGTCAATTTACTATGATAATGCTTGTGTGTGGTTTCATGATGCCCTTTTAATGTTTTGACAGGGAGGGGTTACATTAAAGTTGCTTTTCTCTTCTGGAATTCTCAGCATCACAACTGTGTTGTTACAGTGGTAATTATGACCAGTTTTCAGACCTAATTAGACACCTTGCATTCCCTTTTTATTCTGCAGTTGGAAAATGATTGTCTTGTTCATAGTCTTATAGTTTCATAGGTCTATGAAAGCATCAAGTGAGGAAATCACAATGAAAATTAAGGCTTTATACTAATTTACTGTCATTACTAGTCTTCAGAGTAGCTATTTACATCTAATGTGGAGGAAGGCAAAGCATCTGTCCTTTGAATGAGCTCATAACAGGAAAAGAACAAGTCTTTGAACTTCAGAAAATCCACAGCCATAGCTAACAGCTGCATCCGTGCTATGATGTCAGAGCTAACAGCTGCATCCATGTTGTGATGTCAGAGCTAACAGCTGTATCCATGTTGTGATGTCAGAGCTAACAGCTGCATCCATGCAATGATGTCAGCACTAACAACTGCATCCATGCAGTGATGTCAGAGATAACAGCTGCATCAGTGCTGTGATGTCAGAGATAATAGCTGCATCAATACTGTGATGTCAGAGCTAACAGCTGCATCTATGCAATGATGTCAGAGCTAACAACTGCATCAATACTGTGATGTCAGAGCTAACACCTATAGCCATGCTATGGTATCAAAACATCTGCATCAGTGCTGTGATACCAAAGCTAACAGCTGCATCCTTGCTGTGGTATCAGAGCTAACAGCTGCATCATTATTGTGATACTGGTTGCATCATATTAATATCATTTGTTAACTTCAAGAGGAACTTGCTGATACTTAGAAAAATGCAAAGGCCTATATCTGTCTTAAAAAGAAGAAACTGTGTGCTTAGCTTGCCTGAATTCTGTATTGCTTTAGTCAAAATAATGGCTCACTGCTGTTTAGTCTTCTACGGACAGCCTCTGTGCTAAAATACAAAAAGATGTGACAGACACTTACGTGTTACCAGATGTGGGTGTTTAGAATTCCTGAAAAAATTTAACTGGAATCTGTGAAAGTGAGTGTAACACACCAAATTATGTAAAGGCATGTGTCAATTTAATACCAAAACACAGGTGAGATAAGGAAGTTGTTTCTTTTCTTTAAAATATACAAGAGAATGACAAATTCTTTTAGCTATGTTTAATAATCAGATCCTTTTAAAAGACGTGACAGATGCTACCATTCTGTGGTCTCTTAGAAGAACCCTTCTAAATTACCGTAAGAAACCTTGAGGAAACCTTTGACTCAGTGGTTCTCAACCTGTGGGTCACAACCCTACCAGTGTCACATATCAGATATTTACCTTATAGTTCATAGTAGTAGCAAAATTGTAATTCTACAGTAGCAATAAAATAATTTTATGGTTGGGGTCACCACAACATGAGGAACTGTATTAAAGGGTCGTGGCATTAGGGAGGTTAAGAACCACTGATTTAACTTACATCGTAGTAAAGTCTTTGAGGAGTTGATTTTCCTACTCTGAGAAATAGAGTTAATTATATTAACTATTTCTTATCTATGGAGGTTTCTATTTAGTTTTAATTATTTCGTTTAAACTTAACGTCATACTCTTTGTTACACAACATATACTTCATTTTTTTCTCACAGCACTGGTAATGAATTGAAACTCAGAGTGAAACACCTCTAGGATGATGCATTTTTGCACAGATGTTGTGCACTGTGAGAACTCTCCACAGGCGTGCCACACTCAGGTTCAGTTGCGTCAGTCGCTGACTCCAATGGCTCTGGCTTCTTACTAACATTAGAGCACCCAGTAAGAATAATCTTCTCTCTGACGTAGAAACAGTTGAGGAAAACTAACCATACTCCCCCAAATGACAAGGATCTGATGCAGTGTTCACCTCATATAGTATCAAAGGGATTTACCATTTAATATTTGTTATGAAAATGAATCAGTTCCACCCTTGACTCAGAAACTCTTTATAGAGTGTTATAGCACTGGTTTAAAGGGTCAGTTTGACTCGGGTGGTGCTTTCTCTTCCTGTAGTATCTGGGCTTCGTGTGCTTCCTTCCTTGAACTCAGTGGTTTGCAAAGTACCAGGTGCTCTAAGTGTGTATGTGTTCATGTAATCCATGTGCACCAGAGTGATGTGCACAGAGTGCTGTGGTTGTTCAGCTGTAAGATGTGTTTTCTAAAAGCAAAATGTCTGGTGCCACCTTTAGAATCATGCTCTGAGAGTTCCTGAGTTCACTACTGTTCTGCTAAGTCCAGCATTGGTCAGGTGCAATTTCAGGGTATGTATTAACTGTTCATTCTGAGCAATGCGTTTATATCTATCTGTTTTGGAAAATACAAAGAAACCTACAGATATTACATTGGACCAGCTGAATCCATTTTATGGTTTCTTTTTTAATTCAAAAGCATCACAAAGCAAATAATTTTTTAATTGAGTTTAGTTACAAACTAGTTGTTTCTTATTTTTTTTTCCAGTCCCTTTTTGCTTTCTTTTACGACCACATGAAACTTGAGAAGCCACCTAAAGCTATATCACTTAGTGGAGTTGGGCAGTTCCCAGGTGTCCAACAAGAAGGCCTGGTTTAGGCTGCGATGGCCACTGTCATTCCTGGTGATTTGTCAGAAGTAAGAGATACCCAGAAAGCCCCTTCAGGGAAACGTAAGCGTGGTGAAACCAAACCAAGAAAAAACTTCCCTTGCCAACTGTGTGACAAGGCCTTTAACAGTGTTGAGAAATTAAAGGTTCACTCCTACTCTCACACAGGAGAGAGGCCCTACAAGTGCACACAACAAGACTGCACCAAGGCCTTTGTTTCTAAGTACAAATTACAAAGGTACTACACTCTATTTGTCTTTCAGATTATCCTTTCTCTTGTGTTGGCCGTCTGAAGCCATTGTAAGTGTGTGTATCTGTATACACATTTCTCAGCTGAGTTGCAGAGAGGAAATGTTAAGTAGATTAGACATTGGCTAGCTTGAAGTATTCTAAGTCACATACTTCTGTATTAGTGTCTTTGGATTTTTTTTTAAGTAAAATGCTTAATGAGAGTAGAATTTCCGTTTGTGAAGAGAAATTTCTACGATGAAAAGGGTGTGAACATTACATGAATGTGTTCAATCTTGCCTGTTTACTTTTGTAATGAGAGCTAAAAACCATTCAGCGCTAAAGTGGCAACTTAGATGGCTCAAGTTTTGCAGTGTGTTAACTATGCTGTGGTGTGTGTTAGTTAGGTATACCCTTTATTAAGAGAGCTGTATATTAGCATTAGTAGTTTAGCTTCCCATTTGAAAAGTGAATACGTACCTTTTTGCTAAGATAACCACTCACAGAATATATCTATGTTTAAAGGCACATGGCTACTCATTCTCCTGAGAAAACCCACAAGTGTAATTATTGTGAGAAAATGTTTCACCGGAAAGACCACCTGAAGAATCACCTCCATACACACGACCCCAACAAAGAGACCTTTAAATGCGAAGAGTGTGGCAAGAGCTACAACACCAAACTTGGGTTTAAGCGACACTTGGCCTTGCACGCTGCAACCAGTGGTGACCTCACCTGCAAGGTGTGTTTGCAGACTTTTGAAAGCACAGGTGTGCTCCTGGAGCACCTGAAATCTCATGCAGGCAAGTCATCTGGGGGCGTGAAAGAGAAAAAGCACCAGTGTGAGCACTGTGAGCGCAGGTTCTACACCCGGAAAGATGTCCGGAGACACATGGTAGTGCACACGGGAAGAAAGGACTTCCTCTGTCAGTACTGTGCACAGAGATTTGGACGAAAGGATCACCTCACTCGACATATGAAGAAGAGTCACAATCAAGAGCTTCTGAAGGTCAAAACCGAACCAGTAGATTTCCTGGACCCATTTACCTGTAACATGTCTGTGCCTATAAAAGATGAACTCCTGCCGGTGATGTCCTTACCTTCCAGTGAACTCTTGTCAAAGCCATTCACAAACACCTTGCAGTTAAACCTCTATAACACTCCATTTCAGTCCATGCAGAGCTCTGGATCTGCTCACCAAATGATCACAACTTTACCTTTGGGAATGACATGCCCCATAGATATGGATGCTGTTCACCCCTCTCACCATCTTGCTTTCAAATGCCCATTCAGTTCTACCTCATATGCAATCTCTATTCCTGAAAAAGAACAGCCATTAAAGGGAGAAATTGAGAGTTATCTGATGGAATTACAAGGTGGTGCACCTTCTTCATCCCAGGATTCTCAAGCATCATCATCTAAGTTAGGGTTAGATCCTCAGAATGGATCCCTAGATGATGGTGCAGGTGACCTCTCCCTGTCAAAGAGCTCTATTTCTATCAGTGACCCCCTCAACACACCAGCATTGGATTTTTCTCAGTTGTTCAATTTCATACCATTAAATGGTCCTCCCTATAATCCTCTTTCAGTGGGGAGCCTTGGGATGAGCTATTCCCAAGATGAAGCACATTCTTCTGTTTCTCAGCTGCCCACACAAACACAGGATCTTCAGGATCCTGCAAATACCGTGGGTCTCAGTTCTCTGCACTCACTCTCCGCGGCTTTTACCAGCAGCCTAAGCACAAGCACCACCCTGCCCCGTTTCCACCAGGCATTTCAGTAGTGTCTGGCTGGGCCATGGGTTGGATAGGGAGGTGCATGTGTAGCCCCACCTTCGATGACCATTTTTATTTTAGTGCCTACTTTAAGACAAACAAAACTTCTGCTTTTGTATAATATCAGATTTCATGAAGCCAGTAAATAATAGAAACTAGCCTCTTTGATAAGCTTTGAAACTATTCATGTTTAATTACATTTGCTGTTTCTCCTGATTTTCTGCCAGTTGTCATAGTCTCAGAGTTTTATTTCATATAGGAGCGCCATTATTATCACTAAATTCTACAAGTCCTGTGTTCAAACTACTATTAGACCTTAAAATTTTCATTTTTGTCTAATAGCAATGGGCATTGGACATTTGGCTCATCTTTTGCAAATATGCAGTACAGTGTAAATCTTATGAAATATGTGTGAATAATTGAAGTGTTTTACATTTTTTTTTACTAGCCACTAAATGGATTCATGATCAAGTGTTTTAAATGAATTAAGAATCCAGTTTGGGGAGATTATAGTGGTTTCTTAAATATACCATCATTTCAGATCAATATATTTTGAAGACTGCTATTGTCTGGCTAAAATATTGTGAGCATATGACAAAGAGAGAGAGAATGTGTGTTTCAGTTTCTGTATGTAAAAGAAATCTAGAGAGGTCGCAGGGTGCTCTGTGTTAGCACTGGCCCTTAGGCTGTTTTGCCACATTTCAACCATCTTACCTTTATATTAACGGTGTGTGGCATCAGTCTTCAGGATCAGTGTAGAAATGTTCTGTTTTATGTCCTTCACCTTTCGTACCTAGGATGGCTTCAGTATACCAGCATTCTTATGTTATATATTGGTCCATAGTTAGTCCAGAGTCTTAGAGCCATTGTGGGACAGTAGTAAGTATATGAAACCCAGAGTAGGCTGCGTCAGTCATTGGAGTGACAGACTCCTCAACAGGAAGATGGATGTAAAACATACAGCCAAACCTCAGAACTTGTCTAGAGAATTTCCACTGTTGCCAGAACTGAAAACTGGACTCTTTGGGGGCAAAGTAAAAGCCTATCACGTCACTTCTAAACAGCAAATCCTGCCGCTGTGCTCTTGCTCAGTGCACATCCATCTTTCCCTGCTGTGTTTTGATGGAGAACTGAAAACTAAGCACATTAAAAAGCGATGTGAGGAGTTTCCACAAGGTTTTACACAACCCAAAACAGTAAAACCCCACTTTTACAAATCTTAGGAAATGGGAGGAATGTTACAAATAAGTTGAATTTGTAGAGGAAACAAAGGAAAATAAAGTAAACACCAAATGAGTGTGAAAGCACCAAGGATGCGGTGCTCACTCGTGGTAGTGATGGGCTTCCTCACGCCAGCCAGGGGTCTGATCAAAAGTTCCATGTAGATTGTCCTAAGGGTTGCTTGTGTCATCAGCCTGTAAGACATATCTGTTAAGCACTTGTTAACACCTTATTCTGGGACCCCTTCTGTCTGGGCAGGGGTAGGGGGAAATTTAGAGAAGAGATGTATCTCTTTAAAAAGAAAAAAAGAAAATATTTCTGAATTTCTGAGCACTCATTAGCCTTGTATGGGGAAACTCATTCCCTTTGGTAGGGCCAACTATCACTTCAGATTGCGTTGTTTATCAATAATTGTAAACATGAGTATAGATTACTGAATATGATGCATTATTTAAAATACCTGGGAGTACTATAAATTGAGGAGAAGTGTAAAATGTCATGTGAATGGGGCTTTCATTATATGTTACATACACGTCTAACGCACTTCGTAGAATCAGAGTTACTCTCTGGAGGGCTCTAGCTCCTGGTTTTAACCTTGGAGCAATAGTTTTTATACTTATGTATTTAAATTTTATTATGAAAAATTACATTTTATTAAAAAAAAGTGTTCCAAAGGCATTAAAAATATATATGTTAATAAGGAAATACATTTTTAACTCTTCAGGCTGCTCCTGAGCTGTGGTTGGGAGCACGCTCACTCTCAAAGTGGGCTCTTTGCTCTGCTTCAAGACTGCTTCCTTAGTTTCTATGAAACAGATCGCTTACCTAAAGCTCTAGTTGAATGATTAGTGTTCAATATTGCTTTAATCACCATTAAAAAAGGAAAAGAGACTTGGTGACAGAGCACAAGTAATAGAAAGCCTATTTTTATGTAGAGGTTGCTCACAAACACCACATATGAAAGCACTAGTTTATTCTATCTAAAATCTGCTTAAGAAGAAATCACATTAATGACCTGAGACACTGGCCTTCATAGGCTGTATTTCACTGCTAATTGAAAAAAAAAAAAAAAAGGGAGTCGCAGGATATATGAAATAAAGCATTTTGAAATGGGAATGGCGCCATATATGTATATATATAAATATATTTTTATCCTAATTCTTGCCCTGCACAGAACTCTAATACACATCTTCCAGGGTACCAGTGTTAAAACGCAGAGTCTTAATTTTCTTTGTAAGTACACTTCTTTACCTATTGCTGCCCCCGCAGACTTGAATAACACTTCAAAGTAAGAGGGAATTCAGCAAGTTGGGTTGGGTTTTTTTTTTTCTTTGTTTGTTTTGTTTTGTTTTTTTAATTGACTGCAGTGGTCACTAAACCCTTTCTTGACAGATTTTCTATTAAAGATCAGGCAGCTTTTAATTTAATTGCACAATGTTTTAACAAGGATGTAACACAGAATTGGCTTTTTTCCCCCTAGAAAATACTGTCACTTGTTTTTATTTGAAGTAGGAATGATTAGGGATAGTTCTTGCCAATGCTGTTTTCATTCACCAGTGGCCAGACTCATCATCCTTGGAATTTCTGATAGTGCCTTAGATTGGCTGAAAGAAAAGGGATTAACATTAACTAAAATAGTTTAGTGTAGAGTTTGGACCTCAGACAAGATACCAAGCAAGCCTCATTCAGTTTGACTTCCACACGTATGTGCAGACTATATCAGCGGCAGCAGGGGCTTGACGGTGGAAAGACTGAGGCACTGTAAACACTATAGCCCATTGATATTTACCAATACCACCCTTATAGTTATTGGTCACTGTTAAGCTTTCATTTAAAATCCTATTACCTACTTCAGATTTCTAGAACTTAAGTTGTCTTGGTGGATTATGCACCATTCTGTATGCAATTTTTTTATTTCAGTCAGCATTTCTTTCAAGCTTTGTGTTTTTGCCTATATGTTGCTTGTGCTTTTATTTTTCTAGTCATTTGTGGAATATAGTGATATATTGTGTTAATTTGGACAGTGACGGTTTTTTAAAACCATATACTGACTGAAACATGAGCCAGAGCTGATTGCTTTATTAAGCTAATAATGAATGTTATAGAGTACATATTTCAGGATCATTCATCTAGTGAGCAGTACACATATAGGCCAATTAAAAAAATAGAGCTTGGTCAACCTCTATACTTCATATACTACAAGATATAGCACTTTCAAAATGAACCTAAACTTTTACAGAAACTTTCTTATAGGTTATGCCTTTTATTTTAAGACTTATTATATTCATTTCAAGTGCCATTAGATGATATATATGTAGGTCTTTGATATATAATGCTTTGTGTACAAAAAATGGTAGATGGTATTTTAAACAGGTACATTTTTACAGTGTTTTCTTATCGATTTGCTATATTGCACAGAATCAGTGTGTGTCTTTTCATATGGTTTTACAATGGTTTATTTTTTTACAAGGTTTACGTATCTCAAAGCACACTGTCTTCCCAGTCCATAAGTAAGTTAAAAGATACCAGTTCACCCAAGTTGCTTCTAGCCTACTGAGATCCATGTGACATTGGAGGAGATCTTTTCAGTGTTGAGTATTCGTCCTTAGTGAAAGCAGACTGGTTTTGTTTTGTTTTGTTTTTACTAATGAGTCCCTCAGTGAGTCTGTCTTGTTTTATTCACGTTGTCAGCAGCCAGGTCCACAACATAATATATCCTGATTATGTAGGTCTACATAAATACCTAATTTGTATTGTACCCACAGAGCCCTCCTTTGAAATTATATGCAAGATAATGCTACCAGCCTTAGTAACAGCACAAATCACCAGTAAGCCTTTCTCCAATGTTAGCAGCCCCTGGGGATGGAAAGCAGTATCTTTTGATAGGTTATCTAGCTCTCCAGATGACACAGAATTATTGCTGATGTATAAGACACTTCTTTGTTATAAGCTCCAGTGGTACAGATGAACCAGAATGAATGTCTCCCTTCTCAGAAACCCTCCTTCAACATTATATGGGATCATGCTGCTACTGTCACTTGGGATACAACTCTTCATGGTGCTACAAACTTCTGTCTCATTCAGTTGTATTTTTTTTATCCATAGGAAAAGGACTACATAGGTGTAAAGGTGTACAATATATTTTTATACTGTGACTTAATTTGTCATTAACAAACTTTTACACCACCACAATGTATTCATGTGCGATTGCAAAAGGAGATCTTGGATTTGCAAATGTTACCAGAACAAACCCAGCTTTTGTCCACAAGGTGACTGTAACTCAGAATGGAAAGTGGGCTTGACATAGGGTGTGGAGTGAAGAACATGTTGTAAGTTACTAACAGCCCTTTGAATTTCACAAAAACTGGGAATCCATTAGAAAAATTGATTGCATCATGCCTGAACATAAGCTGACTGCTGAAATTGTATTCTTAGCTAATGAAAAAGTGTTTGGACTAGTACTCTAAAAATATTCTAATGGTAAAGTTTTGAGTCAAATAGAAATGAAAAAAATCTGCATTCCAGACTGAATTTTGTATATTTTTATTGCATTTTAAATTGCTATTCTGTGATATTGGAAAATCAAGTGGCTTATCATGTATATCATGTACTTAAAATGTATTCACAAACTACTGTTGTATTTGTATAAAATATAGACAAAGGTCATATTTGTGTGTGTGTGTGTGTGTAACTTCTGTAAGGTAGCTTCACGTCAAGGCTACAGTGTTTCTGTACTTTAGAAACTCAAATCAAAGAAGCAAGCTGCTGCTTGTCAGGATACCCAAGTGTAAATTCTCACTCACTGCCAGTTATCACTGAAGCTTCTTATGACTTGTAGTGGGATTTGTTGTAAAGAAAAGGATTGATGAATTCCACAGAATATATAAATAGAAATACAGAATGCTTTAAATAATACAAATCCTCCTGAATCCCCATACATGATACCTTACAGTAACATTTCTACTGTTTTTAGACAATATTAATTCTTTGAGAATTTATATACTTACATAATTGTTATGACCATATTTACCCTTCGTTTTCCCAGAACCATCCCCCACCCTCTCCCAACTTCATATCCTTTTGCTTTTTAATAACCTCTGTCGTCGTCGTCGTCGTCGTCGTTGTCGTCGTCATCTATTTTACGGGGTCCATACAACTACTAAGCGTCTTTTTTGCTTTGCTGATATAAGACTGGAACTGCAGCCTCCAGAAGGCCATTTGTTTTATGAATGAAATGTCAGGTTTCAGGAAATGTGAGACTTCCAAGCTTTGGGAGAGGCTAGAGAGATGGCTCAGCTGTAAAGGTTACCTTTTCTTGCAGAGCACCAGGTTCCATTCCCAGAACTCATGCAGTGGCCCACAACTGTCTATAACTCCAGTTCCTGGGGATCCAGTGCCTTCTTTGGGCCTCCACAGGCACCAGACACACATGTGGTGCACAGACACACATGAGCAGAACATTCATACTCATAAAATATTTTTTAAAGTTTTTTGAGCTTTTAGAAGGAGGGTAGAGAGTATTATTTTTAAAGTCAAAACTTCAAGGGCTCAGGCAGTGAAGTGCCTGCTGTGTGAACTGGAGAACCTGACCCAGCAGGCAGGCAGAATACCTGGAGCTCACTGGCCCTCCATTCTAGCCAATCAGTGAGCTCTAGGTTCAGTGAGAGACCTTGTCTCAGAAGTGGGGGATGAGTTAAGACACCAAACATCAACCTCCTTTGGCCTTTAGCACATTATTGCCAGTCATAGGAATTATCTTTTAACAAGTTCCTCTGAGGTTGGTTGATTTACTACCGGTTTTACTAAATCAAGCTTTGACAATTCCATTAAGCCAGAATGGTTGCCATGTGCATCATTTCAGCTGAAAACATGGTAGCCAAGAAAGCAGCTTCCAGTAAAGATGACAATTCTGCGAATTTATTTAACACCTTTCCAGAAACCAATTATGCAAGTAACATGCTGTGTCTCCTAGCCACTTTCCATGTGCTTTGATCAGGTAAAGAAAATAGGGGTTCTCATATTTATAATTCTGTTTTTCACTTAGTCTTATCAAGTATGAAAGTATCCCACATTAATCCTTAGAATTAACACTAGATATATTCCGGCCGGGCGGTGGTGGCGCACGCCTTTAATCCCAGCACTCGGGAGGCAGAGGCAGGCGGATCTTTGTGAGTTCGAGGCCAACCTGGGCTACCAAGTGAGTTCCAGGAAAGGCGCAAAGCTACACAGAGAAACCCTGTCTCGAAAAAGACCAAAAAAAAAAAAAAAAAAAAAAAACCACTAGATATATTCCTATGTAAAGCTGATCATGTGAACTGCTTCAAAGGTGGCTTAGAGAGGAAAATTGTTCTTTTATAATACCCAAGAGCAGAATACTCTGAGAAAGGACATTTAAGATTAATTTGTATGGTGTGAGCTCCTCTATGAAAATTTCACTAGATCCGTAGTTTTCTTGTGCCAAGTTTTTGGAGCTGAATGAGAAATTCATAGTCATGGCTCATCAGTAGAAGGAAAAGGTCAATGTAGCTGTATAGCTTGAGCTAGGCTACCAGGTCTTCTGAAGTAACGTTGACTCAAACATACCCTAAGGACAAGGGCACTCACTGCTTCACCAAATCCTGGAACTCAGCTCCATTAAAAGGAGAAGCATGTTCCCTGGTGAACTATCCAAGGCAAGCAGAGGCAGTGACTTGACTATCCAAGGCAAGCAGAGGCAGTGACTTGACTGAAGCCAAAGTCCAGAAATTGTTTGGAACCATTCTGAGCTATTTTTTTTTCCTCCTAGAGCAAAAATAGTTAAGTATTTGAAATTTCACCCTAAAGCAAAAACATCAAAATATCTTGATTTCAACTGTATCCTATTCCACAAAGAAATCAGAGTCACTCACTAGTCAATTTGACAAGGCTTGGTATCCAGTCTCTAGTCAACCAGCCTAGATGTCCCTTTGAACATATTTTTCTAGCTATAGTTAATATTTAAATTAGTATACTTGCATGAAACAAATTACACTTTATGATTTTGGTGGTCCTCTTCTAATCATTCAAAGGCAAAGAAAAAAAAAGTGAACTCTCACAAGTAAGAGAAT